ACTTTGAGGGATGGAAATGTTTAGCTTAAGCTTTCCCCTGGGGGAAGAATCCTAAGAGACCACTGCAACACATGGGCAGCAGACCTCAGGGATCTTGCTCTGCTGGCCACACTGGCCTTTGGTTGCAATTTGGGGCAAATCGAAGTCATGGGGCACTCGCAGCCAGCTCCCAGAATAGCCTGAGCACACGTGGAGGGGGAAGGCGGCAGTGGGGGCTCTCTACACATGATGAAATGCCAGCAGCTGCGATTGTGCCAATGGCCACGTTAGGCTACTACCTGTCAAGGATGCCCACGCGGCTCAAAACATCTTTGAGCCTGGCATGGGTCTCGTAACTGCCAAGGAGCAGGGCCAGGCTGGGTGGCATAGTGCCTCAGCCCAGGCAGGCAGGAGCATGGGGGGAGTGCCAGCCTCCCTGCCCGCAGCTCCGCTATTATACCACAGCCCAGAACTGGAAGATTTTATTATACTGCCAAGCTAATCCTCTGCCCTTTCTCCTCCCAGGTTCTCCGTGTGTGTTCAGAAACTCCCAGCACCTAGCGCGCCCCACACACGAGCCCCCTCAATGGGCCTGGACCCAGCCTCCAGCACTCCTTATGGGGTTGACGGCGAAGCCATGTTATCCGCAACCTAAGCTTTTGGGGGCTGATGCTGCGGCTCGTGGATATGGTCCCGTACCCAGTTTCGCCTGCAGACTCACAGCTCTGATCCCACCTGAGACGCACTAGCAGTCACCCACGCACGGGACTGACCCCCCATCACCCTGCCTTCTAGGGGCTGTGGCGCTGGAGAGTTACTATGCGGCTTGGACTGTTTGCGGTGGTGGTTTTTCTAAGCTCAATGAATCTAACAGGCAGCAGCAAAGCAGCAAAGGGCAAGAGGCAAAGGCGAAGTACGTATGACACGCATGCGGGGAGCGAGAATGCCTCGGTAGGCTCTGGGGTGGGCAAGGGCTGTGTTCTCCACCAGCATGTCTATAGGGGCACTGGGGATAAGTGTGCAAAGGGCCCTGGCTGTGCAGGGTATGAGTACCCCGAGACCCCCAGCCACCAGGTCACACTAGCCACAGGCAGCCCTGACATCCCCGAGCCCAGCTTCCCCTTCCACTGCTCCTCATGGGGATTATTTAAGTACATCTTTGTTCTACCCCCTAGCCAAGTCTTGCCCCCCACTACTCTGCTACCCCGAGCCCACAGGGCAGGAGCCAATTCCTCTAAGGCCCTAGCCCAGCCAGGCTCAGCTAAAACAGGTGGCCTCATTCACCCTGGCCCCTGCCACTAGAGGGACCCCCCAGCTCTCCACCTCCCCCTGGACAGGAGCAGAAGGCTGCATCCAGCTCCCTGGTTCTTCAGGTCAGCCCCAGGCACAAAGCCAGCAACCATCCTCACCTGCACTGACCACTGGCACAAACAATAGCACTTTCAGCCTAACCCACCTCTCTAAGAGCAGCATAACCCCCTCCCCTGCATTACATCCCCATGCAGCCCAAAGGTGCCCACCCCTCCTATACAGCCTGCTCAGAGCACATTGGGCCCAGCTGCCAGCATTACCCTGCAGCAATCACCGGCCTCTCCGGGAGGATGTGTGCACCCGTGCCCAGCCCAGCACCACTCCTCAAGCCCTGCATCTCACAGGGCCCTCGGCCCAGCTGGCCCCAATACAAGCATCACCAAGGACCTGCATTTAGCCCCAACAGGTCACTGTGGGGTACAGCTGGGTGGAAGTAGTGGGGCTGGAGGAGTCAAGCCAAGCCCAGGGCTCTGCGTTCTGGTTGCCAAATGGTCTGCAATTAAAGCTGTAGTTGCAGAGTTCCCATCAGAAACACAGCTGGGAAATGCCCGTGGCATGGCTAGCCTAGCGTGTCTCAAGCCCCAGGGCAGTGTAAGCCTTAGACCCAGTGTTCCTATTACACTATGCAGAGAGGTGGCTGGGGGCAGCAGGACAGGCCAGCTGGGCAGTGTTTGAGCAGAGCTGGCGGGGCCAGGCTGAGGCTGCCCAGCTTGGCAGACCCACCCCAGGTATACCCAGAGCTCCAGAGAGGGTCTGGGGTGCCTCTCAGGCCCACACCCTGAATGCAGTGTGGTTGGGGGCTCTGGCAGGACTCCCTGCTGTGGGTGTGTCCTTGTGAGGGCCTGGTTGCGCTTAGCGTGGGGAAGGCATCACTCGGAGTTGGTGCTCTGGCCCAATCTACAGTACAGCGGAAGGGCCGATTCCTGGCACACGTGGCTGTGCAGTGATGCAGGTCGGAGGCTGCTGCCACAATGGGAGTTGGGGTTTGCTCCATCTAACCAGGAACCCCACCTCATCTGTTGTCTCTTCCTATGGCCAGCGGGCAGAGAAGCCTCCTCTGCTAGAATGCACTGATGTGAATCAGGGCCAGGCAGAGCCTGGGAGGCTGGGCACAGTGGGCCTGGCGATGCAATGATTCGCCTGGTAAAGCCGTATGGGTAGCCTGCCCCCCAGCCTGCACAGAATGCTGCCTGCTCTCAGTGTATCTCACTGCAAGCAGGACGTGTGCAGACTGGCGAGGGGATGTCTGTCCCAGCCCTCCTGGGGGCTGAGAGTGCATCTGTGTGCCAGGTAGTGAGCTCTCCCCTGCTGCCATCCCCGCTGCCCTCTGCCTTGGTCACTCCTTTGGGACATAGGCCTGAGGGGCTGGAGTCATCACTGTGCTGCTTGTTGCCTGCTGAACCAGGGATGTCGGATGCAGGGCTGCCCCCTCCCAGCTGACCCAGACCCGATGCCAGCCAGCCCTAGCAGCCCAACAGTCTTGGAGCGGCCCCCCTCTTCCCCCAGCTACTGCAACGAGGCTTGAAAAAGCAGCGGGGATGTGGACTCAAGTTCCTTGCTTTGGGGTCCTTTCTTGCACCATGCTTAGCTGGGAGCCAGGGCCAGGGAAGCAGAGAACCCATCTGCCTCTGCCTGTCTGCCCAGTCCAGCACCCGGCAATGCCACGGAGGAGTGCCCGGTCTCAGAGCCTGGTAGGTGGGGCTGTGGCTCTAAGTCTTTGTGCGCTGGGATGTGGCTTCGCCCTGTGCACTGAATTCCCAGAGGAAGGGGGTTGCTTGCTGGGAAGAAGTATACAGCCTTATCTCCAAGGCTCCTCTGAGGTCAACTTGGGTTGGGTGAGCCACTTGCTGGCTGGAAGTGAGCACAGGGGTCCGGACCCCGTCCATACACAGCCCTGGTGATGATGGAGCCTTTGGGGGGGAATAAATGAGCAACTGCGGCAGCGCCTGAGGGGAAAAGTTTGCGTCGGCCCTGCCCCAGCTGCTGCCTGGCAGCTCTCCTGTGCCACGATGGCACTGCTGTGCTCCAGGCTACCCCTGCCCTTGCCCCAGGTTGGTGCAGGAGAGGATGAACTGGGGCAGAAGGAGGAAATGGGGATGCAGCCAGCCCCAAAAAGCAGGCTGGATAGCACCGGGCATATGAGCATGGTTTATGCATACACAAGGCAGAGGTCAAGCCAGGAGGCAGTAGCTCTTCTCAGGTCTGAAGCCAGCAGGCATTCTGCAGCCGCCCAGCCAGGGTCTTGGAGCTGACCCGTGCGTGTCCCCCTTGTCTCTGCAGTCAGCACTGAGCTGAGCCAGGGCTGCGCAAAGGGCTGTGACCTGTGCTCGGAGTTCAATGGGTGCCTGAAGTGCTCCCCGAAGCTCTTCATCCTGCTGGAGCGCAACGACATCCGGCAGATCGGTATCTGCCTGCCCTCCTGCCCGCTCGGCTACTTCGGCCTGCGCAACCCTGACATGAACAAGTGCATCAGTAAGTGCCTGGGGCTGTGTCGGGGTGTGGGGACGACCTGTGCCAGGCAGCTGCTAGTTGGCAGCTCTTCTGCTTTGCACCACAGGTGGTCTGAGCAGGGTTCCCCCAGGGGCTGGGGGATATCAGTATTGTGGTGTCCTTGTGGGAGGTGTGGGGTGAGCCCAGTGCAGCCGTCCCCCGGAGACACGGGTCGTTCAGCTACGTGAACACCCAGCCAGCAGCTACTCCCTTTGTGGGGTCATGCCTTGCCTCTGGGGGCATGGGCGCCCCCTCTTCCCTCCCCTGTGGTGAACAGGGAGCTGTCAGCCTGGCTTTGCTCATCCCCTGTGAGTGGTTGAGCCCTGGACAGTGAACTGGGAGAAGGGTTGAGATCACTGCATGCAGCCCAGCCTTCCCCCCTATGGGCATCCCACTGGGGCACCGTGGAGATACAGGCATCTGTTGCATGTGTGATGGCCTCAGCAGAGCAGCTGTGCCTGGCAGCAAGGGGCAGTGGCTGGAGATAGGTTCCTTATATCAGGCACTACCAGGAGCACCTGCAGCTTCTGGGGCCAGGAGGGGTCCATTTTGCCCACCCTAGCAACTCTCAGTTCCCCCACTGCTGCGCTTCACGGCCTCACAGCCAGACAGGCTTTGGGCGCCGGTCTTGGTGTCATTTCTGTCTCTCTCTCTCCTTTGTTCCCCGCAGAATGCAAGATCGAGAACTGTGAGTCCTGCTTCAGCCGCAACTTTTGCACAAAATGTAAGGAGGGTTTGTACTTGCACAAAGGGAGGTGCTACATCACCTGCCCCGACGGCTATGCTGCCGCCAACGGGACCATGGAATGCAGCAGTCCTGGTAAGTGCCCCTGGCTGGTTTGCTGGGTCCCGTGGCCTCCAGGTTTAACTTGCCCACATGCACTTGGACCTGCTGTCATCTGCACCTGCTGTGTGATAGGGATGTCCTGGTACAGCCATGATGTGCTGGGATGCACAGGTCAGCTGCACACTGCTTGACTGCAGTGAGAGCAAGAAGCAGCCATTAGCTGGTGAGCAGTAGCCTGCTCTGTTATGTCTGACCTGGACCTGCCCATGGGGCTCACAGCTCCATGGTCCAAAAGGTGTCCCTTTCCTACAAGGGCACTGTTGGAAATGGCTGCAGTTTCCAGGCTTTGCTCCTGGGTGTGAGGGAGTTTCCCCACAACCCTCTCAGCATGGGCTGGGTTTTGCCTGTCAGAGATGCCTCTCAGCCCCTGACTAGGGCTCTGCTGTGCTGGCAAGACCAGGCAGAAAAAAATCTGACTGTTCAGTTGTTTTCCAGCGGTTGCATATTTGCATCTGAAAAGAAACTCGGGCATTGAGGTCTGCGGGGAGCTTGCCCCGGCAGTGTAATTAGCAGTTGCAAAATGTGCCATCAGCTCTGGGTCATGGTGAGGCATAGCTGTGGCTTGGGAGAAGCCAGAAAACCCTGCAGAGGATGAGGCTGGGGGCAGCGGTGTCCCAGGGAGCAAGGCGCAGGGCAAAGCCCTCTGGGGTGGGGCGGCCACAGTTCAGAGCTCCCCCTGGGCCCAAACACAGGCCCTGCATCTCTCCTAGCCTGCACACTGGCGCAGGATGTGGTCTCACAAGACACTCTCCTGCTTCATGCCTGTAGGCAAGAAATGTTGGCAGCTGCCTCCTCCTGCCCAGTTTTTCTGGAAAGCCTGGCCTGCCATGGGGATGGTCTGGCCTCTTTGGATGGAGGGCAGGGATCACAGGGGCTATGGCTGGCCCACAGCAGTGGGCCCAGCTCCTGAGGCTTTGTCCTGGAGCTCTGTCAGGTGCAGCCATCTCCAGAGACACAAGGCTGTTCCACGGGATCCGGAGAGGGGCAGGCGGGGGTGAGGGGTGGATCTCCCAGCCTCTCGTGTCGTGTCCCCTGGCAGCACAATGTGAAATGAGTGAGTGGGGCCCCTGGGGCCCATGCTCCAAGAAGAGGAAGGTGTGCGGCTTCAAGAAGGGCAACCAGGACCGAACACGGAGGATCCTGCAGGCACCCGCTGGGGACGTGTCCACGTGTCCTGCCACCACCGAGGTCCGGAGGTGCACGGTGCAGAAAAGCCAGTGCCCTGAGGGTAAGCTCCTGCTGCGGCATTTTGCTGTTTCTGCTGGGGGCCCCGTTTTATCTGGGTTTAGCGCTCCTCAGTTGCCCCCCAGTGCACCTCCCTGGCTGGGTCCCTGAGCCAACCTGTGCAAGGCGCGATCCATTGCCAGCAGATTTCCAGCTCTGCTTATGTTGTCCAGTGCAGACCACGCATATGTAGGGCCAGAATGCAGCACCTGGTAGAAACCTGGAAGGAGGCCTCAGGCAGCTTGTCTCCTAACAGGATTAAGGAGAGCTAGCAGCCCTGGGATGCTGCTCGCTGCATCTGCTGTGCGCTCACTTTCGTAGCCCATTAGTGTCTACGCCAGAGACAGAGAGCAGAGCAGAGGGCTGTCTGTCTGAGCCAGTGCTTGATGCAACAGCTGGAGCATTCATCTCCTCTTGCACCCTCAGCGGAAGGCAATGGTCTGGGTCATTTTGGGGGGCGGTATGCAGCCAGGGACTTGCTCATTCCCTTGGCTGCCAAAGCCAGACTGCAGTTGTGCTGGCTGCTTGGGGGGAAATTAGCTCTGAACAGCGTCTAGCGATGCGGAGAGAGATCAACCAAGGGGAAAGTGGAAAGGCTAATGCTGGCTCTCAGCAGCTGTGGTGCATGGGGTGTATTGTCCAGCAAGAGTTGGGGGCCTGGTCTGGAGCAAGGAGAAGTGCTGGCTTGAGTGTCCAGAAAATCACACTGCTGCATCCAGATTTCAGCTGCCTCCTGTCCTTGGAGCAGCAGTGCTGAAGGTGGACTGTAGCCCACAGGCCAGCAGCCTCCTCTGAGCCCAGATGCACAGGCTCTGAGCAGCTAGGCTGAGATTGCCCAGCAATGGGAAAATGAACCCAGCAGCAGAGGGGCGAGAGGCCGGGGGCTGGGTCCCCATTGCTCTGCTCATGGGGACTGCACCTTTTCCTGCTGCATGGCAGGGAGGGTTACAGGGGTGGCCACCAGCTCTTCCCAGGGCAGCGGCAGCTCTCCTGAGCCACCTGTTGCCCAGAAAGCTTCATTGCTGCCCCCTTGTTACACTGCAGGGAAAAGGAAGAGAAAGGAAGAGCGGAGCAAGCAAGATAAGGCAAATGGGAACAGGAACCAGAAAGACACCAAAGATGCCAAGTCCGGCCCCAAAAGGAGGAAAGGCAAGCAGAGGGGCACCATGGTTCCCGTGACGTCGGCTAGCCCGGTCCAATAGCTGCCCCTTTGCAGGCACGCGATGGCAAGATTCGTTGCTGCTATGTATATGAAAGCTTTATCAAACCAGAGCACTGCGACGCAACACTCCCTGCCAGGCCGACAGAGATGGACAGACACCCCTACACACCCATGGAGCAGCCACCCAGACATGGGACCCACATGCCCTGCGACTCCCTGCCATGCACGCAGATGCAGCACAGGATTGCAGGGTGCGAACTGCTAAGGGGAGGAATAAGGGAACCCCCACGGCGTTAGCAGCGGGCACTGGGGCATGCAGCGTGGAGGGCAGCGGGGCGTGCATCCACAGGACAGCATCTCACTGGGCAGTCAGCCGCGCAAGCCCAGGACAGCGCAGCCCCAGTCAGACGGCTCAGACTGGGACTGGCCAGCTACTCCCCTGAGCCCTGGACTCTGGGGTGGCCGGAGGCAGCAGCCTGCCCCTCCCTTCCCTCCTTCCTTTCGTGTTATGAGCTGTATGACTTCTTCGTGGAGAATACATGTTACACGTCTGTGGTACAAGTCAGCGGCAGCTGCCCTGACACTGCTTCCAAACTTTATTTCAAATTAAAATAGAGGAAAATAACCCAATGCCCCCAGTTTCTGCGCTCGTGGCTAGTAACTGCCGGCCCTGGCCAGGCTGGAGCCCAGGTGGCAAGGACTTGCTTGTGCATGGGGAAACTTGTCAGAGCTGTAAGAAAGCCCCAGGCCAGGCTGCCAGCTGCATCCTAGGCACAGACCAGTGATAATTCCCCATAAGCCTCCCAATTCCACTGAGACCCTGGGGAATCTCCCATTCAAGCCTCTAGTTACCAGGCACAAGCGCTGTCCCTGGCTGCCCTTCTCACCTGAGGAGAGGTCACTGCTGGGCATAGGTGCTGGCACGAGGCCTGTACCCACTGTGTGCAGAGGGGCACTGCCCTCCCAGGGCTGGCTCTGCTTCTGGTAGGGACAGCGGCACTTGGATTGCACCTGGAAGCCCACGCAGCTGCTGCTCCAAGAAAAACTGAACTCTCTTCTTTGAGAACTGTCTCTCTGCTACGGCGCAACTCTGGCTGACTGCAGCACATGGGATCCATGGGGCCGTCCCACCCTCTCTTTGCTGGGCTTGCTGATGGTGGGGCCTGGGCACCTGTGAGCTGCTTGGTGTGTGAGTACCCATGGGGCTGTTTGCAGGGATCCTGAGTCAGCGGGATGAGAAACGAGCAGCCTCCCAAGCCAAGGGTGAGACACAGGGTCCCAAAACCCGGCCTTTGAACTGGCTGGGGACCACATGCAGCTGCCTCTTCTTCCTTGCCCTGCCCTTTGCAGCATACCTGGGGGAGAGGCAGTTCCTTGTGGCCTGGCACTATGCAGCGGGGCCCTTTTCCCTTGCGCAGGCAGCAGCAGAGGGCACTGACCCTTCCCTGGTCTCCCTCTGCTCCTTTGCAAGCCTGGTCATTGTCTCACACACTCATGCACCTGCTACAGGATCCCCGCCTGCAGCCCAGGCTCAGAGCAGCGAGTGCCGTGAGATCTCCCTGACCCGACAGGGCTCCCTACAATAATACACTAGAATATTAGCACCAATATTTCAAAACAGAGCTGCGCCTCAATAAACCAGCCAAGCACATGTGTGCAGTTGCTTCTTTCTCAAATCCTTCTTGCCACCCAGGCGGGAAAAACAGTCTCTGTGCTGAGGACCAGGGCACTTACCCCCTATTTTGTAATCTCCAGTATAAGCCCTGTGCTTGCCCTGTGCTCAAGCAGATTTCCCCCCAGGTCTGGTAATTGGAGAGGGGACCCTTTGTCTCCGGCTATTGGCAAATGTTCCCGATGCCGTCTGTCACATCGCTTTGAAAACAAGCCACCTTTTTTTTTCCTTTTAAGTAAGAAACGATGTTACTAATTCAAAACAGATACATGACACTTAGTACAATTCGCACAGAGCTGGTTAAACCGTCCCAGCCTCGCACATGGAGCTGGGAGGAGCCGACCATCTGAGCAGCACACGGAGGCAGCTCTGGCACCAAAGGTTTGGTCTGAACCCACTTAAAGATGGAAGACATTGGTCAAAGAAAAAAGGCCTTTTGTCCTTTGGTTTAAAACTCATTTTTCAGACTCGTTTTTTTCAGAAGAAGCTGACACCCTTTCTGTTTTGGGTCTTTTGTTTCTGCTTTTTTCTCTTTTTTTGGGCAAAATAGAAGGGGCAAGAAAAGGGAAACTCCAGGCAATCCCAAGCAAACCAATACTGCAGATAGCTGTAAGGTCCCAGCACACCGATGCTTTCACATCCTGATCCCACACCCCTGCAAACCCTTGTTTCTTGCACTGAACCAATCTTTGGAGACTTGCATACATGTCAAGATAATGGGCAGATTTCTATTGCAGATTTCTCTGATGGCTCCCAGATAACTTGCTTATCCTGTGGGTAGTGCTTCTTAGTCATGACGGAAACCAAAGAAGAAGGAATAAATATCCAGTGTTTACAATACTCCGTTTGGGAAACAAATGGGAAACAAATTTAATTTTTAACTCATTTGCTGAGATCTGGGGCTGTGGGCAGATAGATGTCACCATGCTTAGACCAGTTTTAAATGGTATGCTTCCTTCCCATGTGTTTAATGTAAATCCACATATTCACAAGCCACAGGCAGGTTTAATGGGTGCATACAAAGAATCCTCAAATTTACAAGTCTGCGACTCCCATAGAAAAGCAGGGAATGTATATATTTATTTTAGCTCATGTTTATGCTGAAGAGATTTTTTCACTCAGAAGAAATCCTAGCCTTGGGTTAAAGAAGGATATTAGGATGATATAATAGATAATATAACCCAAATAAGAGCATTAAATAGAACCTAAGGATGTCAGAGAGGAGATTTTTTTATAAGTTTATTAAATCAAGGAGGTTGAGGCATAACACTTAAAAAATCTCCGTTCAAACTACAGAAGTCCCATCTTTACAACTGCTCACCACAAATAAATCACTCTGATGGCATTTATATACAGGATAATATATTATGCCCAACTGAATACATTACAGTTCAGATGGAGCAGGCTGCTAGAACTGCAATTGTTTCCAAAGAGCGACATAACCCTGCTGAAAAATAACCCGCGGTCTGGGGAGTCCAGGTAGGTTATCTATTATTATTTACACCCAGTGAAAAGATGATACTTCCCACCCATCAATCATGCACATGGACAGTGTGTTCAGGGGTGCGATTGGTGCACACTTCACAGGGAATGTGAAATCACAGGACACTGATTGCTAGAGCCTAAAATGCAGCAGATGTTCTTTGCAGTCTGCTGGAAGAAAAATCATAATTTCTGCCTAAGAAATTCAGATCATAAATGTCCTCCTGCCTCCCTTCGTTTTTAGAGAGAGGATTTATGTGCAGATATTTTATCCTCTGGATTCCCAATGAATCTGTTACAGGTATGATAAACTGCATGGGTCCAATTCACACCACTGGTGTCACTCCGTGCAGTAATACAGGAGTCAATCACTGAGCAGAAATCTAAGCCAACTGCCAGGGATCACGGCTAGGACCTCAACGGCTCAGTTCACACCTGTATCAGGTATGTTCAACTCCCTAAGTCAGCCATTTCTTCTTCTCACTCTGCTGCCTTCACTTCACCTCGTTCTTTCCTCCTGTGCATCACTGTTTGCAACTGCAACTTTGGGAACAAGACATCGCAGGCTGAGAGAGCTGGGTCACTCTGTTCAGGAGTCACTAAACCTGGACCCTGCTCCTGAGAACACTCTGTCTCCTCCTTTTACCCATTTCATCCTCCAAGGTGACAGCCTCATCGTTGTGGAGGAGCTGAGCTGCTGGAAGAAGCAGTGGCAGTCAGGTATCTGGTATTTTCTAGCAGTTCCTTAGAGGGTCTTGTTGAAGTCTAGCAGTGAAATGTCTTCATGGGGAACCAGTGGACTGAGCAGAAGAAGAGAGCTGGTGTCACCCTTATTGTAACAGCATAAAACTAACAAATATATTGTAGCTCTGCACTTTGCTAGAGAAATGCGTCTTTTAGTGAAGCCTTTGTAATTTAATTTTTCTCCCCATTTAATTATCGAAACCTGTCAGTCACAGGAAGCAAATGAGGTGATCCACTGCAGACAACCTCTGCCAAAAATCAGTCAGCGCTGGTTCTTTCAATAGAATGAGAAGAGCCCTTTTCAACACGCGTCATTGTGGCAATGAATCATTCCAACGGCATCACACAACCCCATTCACCGGGACGCTGGCAAGGAACGGGGCGACCAAGCTTCAACATCACTAAACATCAGCAGCTGTCAGGCCAGTCTGGTCAGTGACATTAAGGGGGTCTAGCAGATGTGACTGGGCTGGCCGGCAGTCCTGGCCAAACCTCTCTGATTTGGGAACTATTGCAGGCAATGCACCGCTGTGCTCGTTTGAGAAAATGCAGAGTCGAAACTCTGAGTGCAGGGAGTGTCAACACACAGGTCAACAGAGCGGGTTCTATAAAGCAGAAATAGCTGGATCACTTGTTGCTAGAGATTTCAGTCCAGCTACCTTCGATGCTTTCATTCTTTCCAGCCAGGACAAACTTGGGAATTATTTCTTCCCTGGCTTCAGCAGGGTTGCTAACCCTCCAGGAATTAGAGAGAAATCTCCAGGAGACTGCTGAGAGTCACCTGGGAGATAAATGATAGGGCATTCATTAAAATAAATAATAAATGTTCATTTGGATTTATACAATTGTCCAGTGGATTTTTAAAATGTAACAGTCATGTGCATTTGCCTTCCTGATGTCAAGTCATTAATGCTTGTGGTATGGAAAACTTTAGCTAACTAGCTCCCTAGATGGATAGTTGCTTAGGGGCTAAAATGAGATATTGCGTTCTGAAGATGAAGAAAAAAATGAATAAAGCTCCCTGCTAGCTTCTCTGGGGAAGAATACTCAGTTTGTCTGGATGTGAATGGAAGAGCTGCCCAATCTCAAGCCTGGGGAGGGTGGCACTGGGATGTCTATGCACCAGCAGAAATGATCCCAGCAAAAGAACCCAGAGACACTATGCACGTAGCAAGCACTTCAACCAGGAGGTCTCTATGACATAAGCTCCATTTCTGAACCTAGCTTTTTGTATCCTTTACAAAGAAGATGACATTGATTTTCTGGAAATGTCCCAAGATTTTTTATTTTAACAACAAAAAGAGTGTTTTCCTAAGGAAAAGGGAAAGGATTGAGGGGAGAGCAGGGAAAGTATTACTCAACTATTTAGTCTAAGAAATTGCAAATCAAAAGGATCCTCTGACAGATTGGTATCAGCTCTAATAGAAAACATGCCAGTACCTAGGAAAACTCTTCCACATCAGCCGGCAGTCTGATAACTTAAACAATTATCTACAATTTGGAATTATTTTTTTTGTTAAATTCCCACATCAATGTGTGTTTTTAAAATGCTCCAGGCACAGATAGTTCCACCAAGACAGCAGAATCAGAAATCCCAGGATTATCCAAAACAGACTGAAAATTAGAAGCCATTAGCATTGTTTTACAAATCACTTCTGAGCTCTTTGTGCATTAAAATGACTTCATGCCAGAGGGACGAAACATTATCTAAAAGCACAGGGCTGCAA